GGTGAATTAGTGAATGAGATCCTACCAGAGTACCTAAGACTCCATTGGGATTCAAGATCGCAAATTCACTGAAGCAGCCGGCTAGTGGGACAATCTTGCCAACTCTCAACCGCAACCAGCTTTTCCAAATGACTGCAAACAGGCCAAGTGGAATAAGCCTATAGCGGAGAATATTGCCACAACATTGGTAGAGGCAGCTTCTGTGACGGATAAAGTACGCCTCCTGGCTGTGCAAGCTCCCCATGCTGGGGACTTCCTGTTGGCTATCTCTAATTCCGCCTTGGGCACCCGCCTGGACCATCGGGTGCTAAGTATTCATCCCGTCCTCACAAACAAAGGCCAAAGTCCATTCCATGCACCCGCCAAACCCCTGTTTATGAATGACAAACGGTTTACACACGACTCACAACTGCTGACGTCCGAACACTTCCAGAATAAGTGTTTCGCTGATAACTTTTCTTTGAACCACATCACTGTAAATGCTGTACCCTCGTACTACAAATACAAATAATCACCAACAAACCATAAACACCTAACCTAACCAATGCCTAAATATGCACAGTATGCTAATATATAACAATATTAATTTATGTTTGAGAAAATTTATATTTTGAATGAACAGTATGTTAAAATTAATGAATGGATCTTTGGGGTCGACTGCCGGATGGAATGGACTTGTCTGAGGACGGGTTGAAGTATTGGTGCTGTACTGGGCCTTACCACCCCAATCTCCACTGAACACCGGTGTATCTGTGGCTATGCGTCACCAGACCAATACGGCAGCCATAGTCTCATCTGTCGTAAGTCACAGGGAAAGATTGCCAGAGATGAAGCAGTCAGTGACATCAAGAGACGTTTAGCTCCAGCAGGTGGGTGTCCAGCAAAAAGGGAACCTCAGTTGTGCAGACCTGACAACAGTCACAAACGCCCAGATGGAGTAACTCTGCAGCCATGGAGGGATGGTAAACAGGTCGTGTGGGACTACACATGTATCTACATTGGCTGATACCTATCTACCTCACAGTACAGCTGAGGGAGGCGGGGCGGCCACCGTTAGGGAAATCCAGACACCTAATAAGTACAGGGACCTAGAACTTTGTTACAGGTTCATGCCGAGTGGCTCTGAGACCCTGGGTGCCTCGGGTAAAAGTGCACTTAAGTGCCTAAAGGAGGTGGGTTAGGAACCCATTAGACAAAATAGAGACTCAAAAGCAACCAGTCTCCTGTTCCAGCGCCTCGGTGTCATGATCCAGAGAGGAAATGCTTGCTGTATCTTGGACACGCACCCAACCTCTGAAGAGCTGGTTGAGGTCTTCGAAAGTGATTGTTATGTATGTTTGATTGTTCTGTAAACACAATGTAATAAAATTAATCAAATAAATCAATCATATTGCATAAAATAGTAGAAAAGTATGGATGGTAGGAAAAGAAGATATTAAAGTGTTCAGTGAGAACCTACAAGGTCTTCTCTGAATACCCTTTATTCTCTTCTCCGAGGCTTTGGGTCCCTACAATTGCACCAGAGGTGGTACCCCCTATATTATATATATATATATATATATATATATATATATATATATATATATATATATATATATATATATATATATATATATATATATATATATATATATGCATGCCAATGTATATGACACTCGCCTGGCGTTCCGCGAGCGCTATGTCATGGGTTCGTATCCTGGCCGGAGAGGATTTACTGGGCGCAATTCCTTAACTGTAGCCGCTGTTTAACTCAACAGTAAAATGTGAACTTGGATGAAAAAAAACGATTCTTCGCGGCAGGGGATCGTATTCCAGGGATCATAGGATTAAGGACTTGCCCGAAACGCTACGCGTACTAGTGGCTGTACAAGAATATAACAACTCTTGTATATATCTCAAAAAATGTATGACCATGAAAGAAACTGAGAAAATTACTTAAGTAGCTTCGTATTAATACATCATGAGAAGGATGAATACTACAAGTCAGTGGTGGTGGTGATTATAGGCAGGAAGGAGAACAATGAGGTGAAGAACAATGTCTGGTTCGTGAACATAAGAACCAGAGGACACTGCAGTTTCCTCTTGTTCTGCTGTTCATGAACCAGAGACATTGCTTTGCCTTCCTGCCTATAATCACGACCACCACTGACTTGTAATATTCATCCTTCTGATGGTGTATTAATACGAAGGTACTTTAGTAATTTTCTGTCTCATTTTCTTTCGCGGTCAGACGTTGTCACAGTATTCGTCGCGTGTTAAGTTCTTCATGATTTACACACACAAACATAGCTGTTAGGGGAAATCAGACCTAATTTGTTCGTATCATATTAGAATTAGTTCGTGTTTGTATATTGCGTTACACAGTCATTGAAGTTTACACGCGATTACAATTTAACATGTTAACGCAGCGAATGACAGCAATATCGTCGTCTATCCCGTTCAGGATACAGGTCGTAATACTGACTCCTAACATCACAAACTGGTCTTCAACCAACGTAACTGAAATAAAAGACAATGTTGAATCAAACACTATCGTCTCAGTTTCCAAGCTGTATATATGAGAAGGTCAGCATAACCTCAACTACTAGGGTCTTCACGCTATGATTTTCCCCGTTTCACTTGGAATGTTTATTAAGGACTGAGGGTTGGGTTATAGCGGCCCGAGGGTGGGTCCTCCCTCACACCCTCTCTCTCTTACGACCTGAAAGTACTAGTATAAAAAGCTATGATTTGTTCAGATCTGAAACCTACATCTATGGGCAGCACAAAACGTCCACTAGACTGTGCGACACAGTGGTTGCAAGGATCAGGTTGGGTTACCGTTACCTGTGGCCGGTGGCTGCAGGTGACGGGTCTCCCAATCCTGAGCACTCCAGGTGCAAACTCTGTGAGCAGGAACTACGGCATGATCTCCCGCACTACATCACTGAATGCCCAGTTATTAGACCTTTCAGACCAGTTGGCATGAGGTACCTGGAGCTTTGCAATTGCTTTATTCACTCTCGTATTCTTGAAGATATCCTCACAGTGTACCCAAAATTTGCCAGTGCAGGCTATTAAACACATGGCTCTGTATGACTAACCATCCTGCGAGATGGGGACTTGTATTACCACTGCTACCTTATTCAATCTTGTGTTGATGATATCCTCATAATGCACCCAGAGTCTGCCAGTGCAGACCGCTTATCACATGCCTCTGTATGACTAACCATCCTGTGTGATGGGGATTTTTTAGCATCACCTAGTTAGCTTTTTTGACACACTGTACTCCACTTCATATAGTCTAGGGTAGCTGCACTAATGCACATGTACCTAATATATTAAAAAAAAAAAAAACTTTCAACTGATGATAACCTGAGATCACTCCAAGCTCTGCACCTCTCAATATTCTACAATAGTTTACATGCGCGTGTGTGTGTGTGTGTGTATATATATATATATATATATATATATATATATATATATATATATATATATATATATATATATATATATATATATATATATATGTATGTTTGTTTCCAAACAAGAGCTCATATTGTCCTGTTAGAACAAATATTATATATTTCAAAGTATTATTCAAAACACTGAACATGTACCATGCATTTAGTAATATTATAAATGTTATTATCAGTAAAATAAAATGACCAATTTCAGCGCCGTGTTATACCCAGCTTTTTATTATAGACTTAAAAATGATGACATCAATGTGCAGAGAAAAAAAATATATTGCAAAAAAGGTTTAAAAATTTGAAGTAAATGCGTGCATCTGGAGCGCAGAGGTGAGGAGAGCTCTGTCGCTGTTCTGTGGTGGCCCTTGTTAACAGGTGACTGGGGTGTTACAAGCCCTTGTTAACAGGTGACTGGGGTGTTACAAGCCCTTGTTAACAGGTGACTGGGGTGTTGTTACAAGCCCGAGCAAACCCCCAACCCCCTTCCCACCCCCACCCGCCCAGCCACCCCTGGAGACTTACCTGCATGCATGCGCTTCTGGTGAGATCGGAGGTGCTGCGGCTGGCAGAACTTCTTGCCGCAGTAGTCGCAGAGGGGGAAGACGCGGGCCGGGTTGCGGCTGCAGGAGTACGTGACGTGCATGTCCAGCGAGTGTAGCCGCAGGAAGAACTGCTCGTCGGTCCACACACACACACACACACACACACACACACACACACACACACACACACACACACACACACACACACACACACACACACACACACACATTACAATATTTCACACACGTTCATAGTACAAACAGACAGAGGCACACGAGAGAGAGAGAAAAGGAGAGAGCAACGTCAGGATACGAGTGAGTGTCTGAGAGTGGAGGGCGGCAGGTCCGGGGCGCCTCACAAGACTGACTGGCATGGTTGACGTCTTCATACATGAGGTGTGACGAAGGGTAGAGTGAGGGGCACCCCGCAGCCGCCGCCGCCCCTGCCCAGACGCTGCGCTATAGAGGGTACGTGGCGTGCCTGACCAAGGCCAACAGTCAACCACCACTCACAGTCGCCTCGCGCCGCTCTAAGCAACATTTCCTTCCTGTAACTTTATATTGAGAGGTCAATAGCATATATTTTTTTATTTACAGATTTTGGTGTTTTGTCTGTAATTTATTCTTACTCAGGACTTTGTGTACGCGTGTCTTTTTTTTCTTGATATTTATGCTTTGCGTGCGTGTGTGGAGTGTGGGTTGCTGCCGCGGTCGCCCTGGTCAGCGGCCCTTACCGTGGGTCGTCCTCTATGGACCCCTGACGCGTGGGTTGGCGGCACCCGAGCACCTGTGTCCCTTCACCCACCCACCTTCCCTCAGGCTTCCCTACACCCACTTACAAGGGTGTGTGTGTGTGTAACCTCCCCGCTACCTCCACCCACTTACAAGGGTGTGTGTGTGTGTGTGTGTGTGTGTGTGTGTGTGTGTGTGTGTGTGTGTGTGTGTGTGTGTGAGAGAGAGAGAGAGAGAGAGAGCTCCCCGCTCGCCGTCTCCACCCGACACTCACCACTGTGCATTCGCTTGATGTGCACCTTCAGTTTCTGAGGCTGACAGAACTTTCGGCCGCAAAAGTCGCAGAGAGGCCGCGTGCGCTGGGGGTTGGCGGCGCAGCCGTAGGTGCGGTGCATGTCCAGGTAGTTGAGGCGGAGGAAGAACTGCAACGCCACACAAGCACCGTCTACAGCCGCCCATATCACCAGGGGGGAGCCAAGCGTGCCAGCTTATCAGGCTCAGTTGTAGAGACGGCAGCTAGTGACAAGCACGGCTGCCGTCTCCCGGCTGGCGCTGGCCGGCTGGGACCTGTGCTGCTGCTGCCTCCTGCCGCGCCTGCTCTCTGCTACACAACAGTCACGACGCTCCCTCTGCTAGCGCACCACTTTTACAAGACGTGTGCAGACCGGCAAGCGTAGGGCGGCCGGCGAGTGTGTGTGCAGAGGACAGTGAACAGCAGATGGACGGAGGTGGACGGAGGTGGACGGAGGTGGACAGGAGGTGGAGAGCAGCACAGCTCCCGCGCCGGCTAGTGCTCAGCCAGGAACATTAAACTCAACTTCACAGCTTGTTAAGCCTTCAACTATGGTCTTATCTTCTGATTTAACTTCTGATCGCACTTGTATCTATCTAAACTGACTTGAGTCCTGAACAGTGTTATAAGTCAATAGCCTACATCAAAGTGTTGAATCATAAGTCTACTTTTGTAGTATGAATCGAAACTAATTATAACTGAGTTATGCAAATTACACTTGAAAACAAAGGTTTAATGATAAAACCCGTACTTTAGAGCAATTAAGAATAACACCGAGCAAAAAGATAGAAAAAATAACAGATAAAATGCACGGGCCAATATGATGATAATTAGCACCAAAATGCAGATAGACAGGATAATGAAAGAAGTAATTCGAATAATAATAATAATAATAATAATGATAATAATAATAATAATAATAATAATAATATAAAAGGACAAAAAATCTGATACACAAATGTACCAGAAATAGTAAATATATGGTATATATAAACTGTGTATAATAAAAGTATTAATCGGGTGCATAGAATGAACGTATGACTGTGCCAAATGGAAAAAGTCAAAAAATATTATGGAAAGGTGCATAACTTGGATTTTAACGTGCAAAAAGATGAAATAACAAGGAAACGAGTGTTAAGAGGGAGCTGTACTGGCTGGGTTTACCCGTACGCGTTGACGTGTTCACCACCAGGCGTCGACTACGTTTCTAGCAGGCATAGAATCTATGCAACTTTCATATCTAGTAGTATGTACAGATTCCTCTGGTGTCTAGAATAGCTTGTATAAACTATATGGCTAACTACACCTAGCATTTTGGAACAAAACTGAAGGACTATTATGAGATATTTTCTATTTCCTTCGTTAGTCTAGATATGCCAGCCTAGTTTCATCTAATCCCTTCTAGCAGCCGTTCTTTCTAAGCCTCTAGAAACTGTGAGCGCTACCACGAGGAATGACAGTGGAGTTGTAGTGTCATGTGGGCAGTGAGGGCGTGGCCGCCCTGGCCCACGACATCTTCCTGTGGCGACGCCTCTCACCCTTCGTACTCAGGGGCGCCAAACGCTAGCCAATCTGGGGTTGCAGGAGGCTCCTGTACGCCATCATTAACTTTCTCAAGTAGGCTCGTATATTAGTTATCTAATTAGGTTTTGTTGGTGGTTCGTACAAGCCGTTAAAAGTGTTGACAGACCAACTTCATCCCTCAGACGTGCTTGCGTTGGCTGCTCGCCGCAGCATCTGCCTGCGGAGGATCTCCTGGGGTGGTGTGTGAGGCGGCCCCCTGACACACCACGGGAGAGCAGCCGCGGCAGCGTGCTGGGGTGACGAGCTAGCCCCGTCAGGGAGGTACTGACTCCAGCATGAATAAGGCCGAGGTGTCCGGGTAATGCCGCTTCTCCCTCGTCTGGGCCCCGGAGGGGACGACCGACTTACTCTAGCGCAGCCTCTAAGCTAAAGCAACGACACCAACAACATTCATTTCTAACTGAACTTAGGAGCACGATGTTGAGGGCACAGCCGGATGCTACAGTCACTATACCAGTCCACGGTCCACAACCCAGGTCCTACAGTTACAACCAGTGCGCAACTCATGTCATATTTGAAAGGTCTACAGTCGCAATCCAACTTAAGCAATGATGTCTGAATGAGCGCAAGTTGCATAACCTGTGTGTTGCAACTGTTGCAGGGAAGGCAAGGGAGGAAACAGGCAGAGTGTAGATATGTAGCGTTGGTTTATGTCGTCTGAGCTGTGCTAACAACAACACTGAAGTCACCGATAAGTGCAAATACATTTGTTGACTTGTGTGAGACTGTTAATGTGGGTAATATTCACTACGAGCCTGGTCCTTATGCTATGTTAACTTCTAACTGAATAAGCAAAATTGAATATTGTGTTAACGAGATAATAGTGAACTGTGTTATAATTCTTGAGATAACTTTTGGTATAGATATGTGTTATAGATTTTTAATGGAGAGCCAGTTATCTAATACCTACTGTCATCAAGTTCAGCTTAATACTGTCGGTATAAGGTATAAGTATGGTGAGTGGGCACCGTGTGACTGTCAGTGGTGGCAGTGGGTGGTGTACACAACACATACACTACCACAGTTACTAGTGTATGTTATACAAGATTACACACACGCTAGCCTACAGTGACACCCCGGTGTGTCACAAGCCCAGCTCTCTACAGTCTTGACACCACACGCCCACAACCACAACCTTGCAACACTCAATGCTACTAAGTCTCCAACAACACGCACAGGCAAGTATGTATCTCCAACACAGCCGCTATAGGGAAGTTCCTAGTAAATATTTACACTAGCCTAAGCTACTCATCTCTCCTCAGGGATTCTAAAAAGGAATTCAAGGAACTTAACGTTTTTAAATTATATTAATTCACAGCCCTCCCCTCTCGCCTACCCAGCGCCAGAAGTTATCAATGGCTTGGCCCGCTATCCTGGCCACGGGGATGGCTCACTATTCATTCTTAAGTCACCAACATCCTTGCAAGAATCCAAGTAATGGATGCCCCATTGTTCTGCCTTCCTTGCTCACCGTCCTCTAACCCCGCCTCAGTTCTTCTACTATCCCATGCTACCACGAGCAGCGGTTAGCTAATCTCGCCAATATTCAAACGCAAATACACCACATAGCGCTCAACTTGGTACAGGCTGACGACACGACAGAGGGGAGAAACCTTGCGTCCTCAGATTTCATTTTGCAGTGTCCGACAGTGGAAGCTCTTCCTATACGTGCTTATATGTCCTCGTATATCAAATAGCATTTTAAGTTTAGTGCATTCCGTTATTTAGTATTAACGAGACACTGCAACCATGTGCATCTGACGTATATAACAAGTTCTCGAGTAACTGCGACAACAAGAACAGGTTAACTATCACTAGTATCTGTCGATTCGCAAATTCAGTGTCAGTTACAAGTTAGCAGTCACTAGTACCAGTCTCTTCCCCATTTGTTGTCAATACAAAGTTGAAGTGAAGTCAGCGGTCTAGGGTGGTGAGTACCGTCAATCTGTCACTACTCGGTCGCGGGAAGGTGTAAGTCCAAGACCTCAAATCAGTAATGTATGTCCTCAGAACTATAATCTAGATTCTAGATGGGCCAAAATATCTATTCTAGGGTTCCCTTCTCAGAGATGAATATATTAACAATAGTAAATATTCTGTAACCATATTTTATTTGAGAGATTTATGACTTAAGACTTATATACATTATGTTTTAATTATAATGTTGTCTCCGTTCGTGAAATTCACAATATATTCAACTTTGAGATGTTAGTTTTCGTATGAATATTTTAAATAAGCATAGATCTGTAGGCATAACTTTCGTTCACTATCATTTATCTATAATAATTACTAAATCAATTGTCATTATCAATACCAACTGTCCTGAACACTCTCCTCACTATCAACTGTCCTGAACACTCTCCTCACTACTAACTGTCCTGAACACTCTCCCTCACTACCAACTGTCCTGAACACTCTCCCTCAATATCAACTGTCCTGAACACTCTCCCTCACTATCAACTGTCCTGAACACTCTCCCTCACTACCAACTGTCCTGAACACTCTCCTCACTACTAACTGTCCTGAACACTCTCCCTCACTACCAACTGTCCTGAACACTCTCCCTCAATATCAACTGTCCTGAACACTCTCCCTCACTATCAACTGTCCTGAACACTCTCCCTAACTATCAACTGTCCTGAACACTCTCCCTAACTATCAACTGTCCTGAACACTCTCCCTAACTATCAACTGTCCTGAACACTCTCCCTAACTATCAACTGTCCTGAACACTCTCCCTAACTACCAACTGTCCTGAACACACTCCCTCACTATCAACTGTCGTGAACACTCTCCCTAACTATCAACTGTCCTGAACACACTCCCTCACTATCAACTGTCCTGAACACTCACCCTCACTATCAACTGTCCTGAACACTCTCCCTCACTATTAACTGTCCTGAACACTCTCCTTCACAACTAACTGTCCTGGACACTCTCAATCACAATCAAACGTTCAGAACACTCCCTCATCACCAACGTTTCTGAACACATTCCTTCACTACCAACTGTCCGGCACACTCTCCCTCACTATTAACTGTCCTGAACACTCTTCCTCACTACCCACTGTCCTGAACACTCTCCTCTCTACCAACTGTCCTGAACACTCTCCCTCACTACCAACTGTCCTGAACACTCCCTCACTACCAACTGTCCTGAACACTCTACATCACTACCCACTGTCCTGAACACTCTCCCTCACTACCCACTGTCCTGAACACTCTAACTCACTTCAAACTGTACTGAACACTCTCCCTCACTACCAACCGTCCAGAACACTTTTCCTCACAACCAACTGTCCTGAACACTTTTCCTCACTTCCAACTTTCCTGAACACTCTCCCTCACTATCAACTTTCCTGAACACTCTCCCACACTACCAATTGTTGTGAACACTCCCTTTCACTACCAACTGTCCTGAACACACTCCATCTCTACCCACTGTCCTGAACACTCTCCTCACTATCAACTGTCCTGAACACTCACTGTCACTACTAACAGTCATGAACACTCTCCTTCACTACCAAATGTCATGAACATTCTCCCT